CTGTGACTTGGGTTTTAGAGCACCTATTGATTATAAAAGTTACTTCCATTTTGAGGAATTCTAACATCTCAATTAATTTGTATAGTTATTGGGTTTTTTTGTTACTTATTGTAAATTTAGGAAGTTTGAAATAATTGCTCAAGGGAATATGTTATTAATTGAGTTGGAGTCTCACTCTGTTGCTCAGGCTGGAGTGCCATAGCATACTCACAGCCACTTATTTTCAGACCTCAGTCACCCACGGTAACTGAAACCATGGAAAGTGAAATCCTGGATAAGTGTGGTCTGCTGTATTATTTTCAGAGATGATGTAAAAGTGTGTAAAAGTATATACCAAAGTCAAACTGCAGAGTCTGTTTAGTGAGGTTAGCAACAGAGTTCGGCTGATTCTGAGATGTGCAGAGCACAAGGAAAGACTCGCGCTCACTTCTAATATTTTTTATAGCCTCTGTTGCCTGTGAGGTAGAAGAAAGTCACTGGAAACCTGAAGTGATTGTTCCATCATTGGGACACATATGGCAAAAGACAACATGTAGTCGGTGGTCTTTGTTGTGATTATAACCAGGAAATCACCATGAAATTCCTACTTACTTGCTTTTGTTTTTGGAATCCAATGATTGAAGTGAAATGTTAACCCTTTTTAAGGCAGTCAGTCACTGTACCTGCACATGGCTACATATTCTAAATGCTGTCTGTCAACAGATTCATATTCTAGTTCCCTGTCAGTGTCTTGGTTAATGTAACACAGAGTAAATATATTTGTTTGTTTGTTTGTTTTTGAGTTGGAGTCTCACTTGGTCGCCCAGACTGGAGTGCAGTGGCCGCTTCCGGCCACTGCAGCCTCGCCTGCTGGGCTCCAGCGATCCCTCCGCCTCAGCCTTCTGAGTAGCCGGAATTACAGGCATGCACTACCATGCCCAGCTGATTTTTTGATTTATTGTAGAGATGAGGTCCCGCTGCCCAGGCGGTTCTCGAACCCGCGGGCTCAGCCAATCCACTTACCTCAACCTCCCAAAGGCTCAGGATTACAGGCTGAGCCACTGAGCCCGGCAAATATATCAGTTTTTAACACACAATTTTGCTAATAGTGTTTCTTCTGTAATAGGTATTAGTTGATATTTGAGCTTATTTTGTGCTCTTGTATCAGTAGGGAACTTTCCACAGTCTCCTACCAGTTACAAAGGAATCACATAAAAGCTAATTTGTTTTTTTGTTTTTTGTTTTGTTTTTCTTCTGAGTTGGAGTCTCACTATGTCGCCCAGGCTAGAGTACAGTGGCACACGCATGACCACCCAACGTCAACCCACTGGGCCCTGGAGATCCTTCCGCCTCAGCCTTCCAAGCAGCTGGAACTACAGATGCGTGCTACGACACCCAGCTAATTTTTGATTTATTGTAGAGACCAGGTCTCGCCAAGTTGCCTGGGCTGATCCCGAACCCCAGTCTCAGGCAATCTTCTCGCCTTGGCCTCCCAAAGTGCTGGGATGACAGGCTGAACCACTGATCCCAGCCTAATTTTTTTTCAAACAAATAAGAATCTAGTGCTTTGCCATTTACAAGTCTTTCACACACATTTCTCTTTGACCCTCACGACAACCATGTGAGGTGGGCAGCAGAGATGGTCTTCTCATTAAACAGATGAGGAAAGCATATCTCAGAGCAGTGAATAAATTTTATTAATAATCAGTTTTGGGCCTAAAACTTCAGTACCTCACTTCCCCTCATACTTGCTGCCTACTTCACAGGGAAAGTGAAGATACAGTGAATTGGAGGCTAGAAAAATACTGTGAGGGGAAAAAAAAATGCATGATAATTATTCTTACAGATGATTATTTTCCACGGTATACGGCTCATTCCCCTTCCCATCCCAGCTTGTGCATGACCTGGGATTTCATATCGCCTCTGTTCTGTGCTCAGCTAAGCAACTAAGTCAGTCAGGGGAACAGTCATTCTGTTTAAAGTCATAAAAATTACAACCAGGATAATTGCTATTAAACAAATTGAAAATAGCACAGAGAGACCAGTGTTCACATAGGATTCCCCAATGCTCAGAGTAACACAAGGCAGAACGATAAGACGGGCATGACTGCGTGGAAGGAAGATGCGGTGTCTGAGCTCTGAATGGCACACACAGGTGCCTAAGACGGTGGTGGCAGACAAGAGTTGTTTGTTCCACGTTATTGTAAACAGGAGCAGAAGATTCATGGGAACCCACGCAAAAGCATCTTCCGTCACACAGATGTCTCCAACTCCCTACAGGGAATGTAAACAACAGTGTGGATTTCATGTGTACCTGTGCTCCGGTCCTGATACACCAAGGAAGAGCTCCGTGCTGAGCTCCCTTAGCAAAAATACAGCCAGTATCATAATTCCTAATCAGACTAATAAATTCAGTGCTTCTTTAAGGTAATGGCTTAGATGGTTGTTTTTAGTTTTTTTTTCAGAGTTTACTTTGGATTCTACTGCTTTAAGACCCAGATTACACTGAGTTTTTATTGGTGGTTCTAAGTATGTGTGCAGAACAGTTAAAGTGTGATAGGTGAATTTAATGTATTAAAAGAGTCCTATAACATCTGTTCACAAAAGATTATATGTTGTGTAAACTATTCAAGTTATACAAAGCCATTCTTTAGTGTCTTTGGAGCTGAGAAGAATCCTGCTTAACTTCTCCTCCCAAGGCAGCTCATTCTGAACAAGTTTTACTTCAGGTTTTTTTATTTTCGTTGACAATAGCTTCATATTTCTCTCTCAATTCTGCTAATCCTATGTGAATTGGCTCTGTTTCTAGATGTTCTGGGGTAGTAGTTCCTAAGGGAAGCTTTAAAAAAAATTCCAGAGCACTGTTAGATTTCCCTGGTTCTTCTTGGAAGGCCATCCACACCTGGGTCAGCACGTCCAGAACCCGGGACTTCTCCAGGCACCTCTGGAACTGGTGGCGTTTTGAGCGGGCAGCTTTGTCATGGGTGCTAGTGACAGCTGCAGTGTGGAGCTGGCACCCAAGACCTTGACTGGCGGCCTTGGAGAAGCACTGTTCATGCAAAAGCAAAGATTTTAAAAAGATTCATTGTTGCACACGAGTGAAGCCATCTCCATTTGTGAAATTCTTGAAGTTTTTATTTATTTTAATTACTTTTTCTTTTTTTTTGTAGTGACGAGGTCTTGCTATTTTGCCTAGGCTGATCTCGAACTCCTGGGCTCAAGTGATCCTCCCACTTTGGCCTCCCAAAGTGTTGGAATTACAGGCACACCTGCTCACGTTTGGGAAAGTTTTAACAAACATTGCGGGAGACACTTTATCTAAAAGGTACAAGACTGGGTGTTCAGGTGTTAGAAAGTCTGAGCAGGTGGGATGAGGGCAGAAAACAGGACTCGTTCTCACTTGGTTAAGATTTTGATCACTTTGCCAACCACATCATTGTGATACTCTTGTGCTTATCTGGGACACAGGCAGAGCTGATTGTCCCATTTTACTGTTTTCTTGTTATACTTGCAAGTGTTATAGATTAATTTCCTTCTCTCTGATAGACAAAAATCTTCAAAGGTTTTTCAGCTAGTTTATTCATGGCCCTGATTGGAAGAAAATGCATTTTAAATAAGCTAGGCCTGTAGCGCCCGCCTGTAATTCCGGCTATTTGGAAGGCGGAGGCGGAAGGATCGCCGGAGCCCAGCAGGTCGAGGCTGCGGTGGCCGGGAGTGGCCACTGCACTCCAGTCTGGGCGACAGAGTGAGACTCCAACTCAAAAAAAAAAAAAAATAAGCTAGGCCTTAGTCTAGGCAACAGAGTGAGACCCTGTCTCTGCAAAAAATTTTAAAATAATTAGCTGGTAGCTGGTATGTACCTGTAGTCCTAGCTACTCGGAAGGCTAAGGTGGAAGGATCACTTCAGTCTAGAAGTTTTTCAAGGTTACAGTGAACCATGATTGCATCACTGCATTTTACCCTGAACAGCAGTGAGACACTGTCTCTGAAAAGAAAAAAAAAATAAAAGAATGAACTAGACCTGGGTTACTTTTGCAAAAAACTGATTATATGTCTGAATCTCTCTCTTCTCCTTTTACACGATCCAACTCAATCTCCCTTAAAATACAAAGGAAACTGACATAAGCCCAGCTGTTCCAAGCAAACCTGGTCATCTGTTCTTTGTCTTCCAAAATCTCAATCAAGTTACCATATTAATAACAGGGATATGTTTTCTGCTCAACATGGTGTGTACTTTTGTCTTAAACACCATACTTTGTACCATTGTTTTCTTTCTTTTTTTTTTTTTAGAGTTGGAGTCTCCCTCTGTCGCCCAGACTGGAGTGCAGTGGCCACTCCCGGCCACCGCAGACTCTACCTGCTGGGTTCCAGCGATCCTTCCGCCTTAGCCTTCCAAGTAACTGGAACTACAGGCGTGCGCTACCACACCCAGCTGATTTTTGATTTATTGTAGAGATGAGGTCTCGCCAAGTTGCCCAGGCGGGTCTCGAACCCGCGGGCTCAGACAATCCACTCACCTCAGCCTCTCAAAGGCGCGGAATTACAGGCTGAGCCACCGAGCCCGGCTTGTACTATTGTTTTCTTTCCGTCTCTTGTTCATAGTAGATCATTCTCTACATCTTATCTGTGACTATTTTTTCTCACCCTCTGTATGTTTTTCCCTGGTTAAAGAAGGCTGTGCCAGCCTTGCTCAATAGCCGAAGTGACTTTGATGTTTTTAACCCAAAGAGTGGTGAAATTTAATGGGTTTCCAATTTAATACTTCTCGGTCCTGGATTTTCATAGTTAGGTTGCCATAACAAATGGTGGAATTTTTAAAAATGCATGCCTTGAAAGGTACAAGTCAGCATTTTCTACAGCAATAAATGATACCTTAAATTATTATTTAGTAATCTGTAAATTTTCCTTAATTGTTTTATAAAAATACCATATAAATACATTGAGTACATTATACATTTTAGTGTTTCTGTTCTTAAATAATCTGTTTGATATTTTCTGTTCATTTTGTTTCTTCCCATTAGTTTCATGCTATGGATACCTTGTATAGACACAGCTATGACTTGAGCAGTGCCATTAGTGTCTTAGTACCACTTGGAGGACCTGTTTTATGCAGAGATGAAATGGAAGAATGGTCAGCCTCTGAAGCTAGCTTATTTGAAGAGGCACTGGAAAAATACGGCAAAGACTTCAACGACATACGTCAAGACTTTGTGAGTAGAAAATTGGGAATAAAAGAAAATGTTGGGGTGGGAATAGTTTATCTGTTTTGGAAATCTGGAAAGCTTTATGCATTCATTTAGCAAGCTTATGCCTTAGTCGTTTTTATTTGCTCAAATAGAATCAAGGCCAGTTTTGTAAAGGGAGAAATTGATCATTGTTCAGGGGAGTAGTTATAAGACTCACTCACTGTCAGGAGGTCCTGAGTTCTTGGTGTAAAACTTGGCAGGATGACTTTATCCTACTTACCTCTGAATTCCAACTTAAAAATATGGACAGCTCTTCTCACTATTTGCATGAAACATTTCTGATCTCTGCTGTTAGGCTTGATCTCTGTTGTCCTTTCAGGCTTCTGTATTTTTCTAGTTGTCTTACTAATTGTCGAGCCTGAATTTTATGCAGATACTAATGAAGTGACCTCTACCTAACAGAGTAGGAGAATTTTCTTTTAAGGGTTTTTTATCTCAATTCTTCTGAATGATGTAGAGTATCCTACTTACATTTTTTACTATTAACCCCCCTGCCCCGCTTTATCGAAGTATAATTGACAAAATGGTATACCTTTAAGGTATACAGTGTGTTGATTTAATTTTACATATACATTGTGAAGTGGCTGCCACAATGAACACATTCATCATGACAGTTAGTTACCTCACAAAATGTGTGTGTATGTGTGGTGAGGACACAAGACCTACTCTCTATTTTATTTATTTATTTATTTATTTTTGAGTTGGAGTCTCACTCTGTCGCCCAGACTGGAGTGCAGTGGCTGCTCCCGGCCACCGCAGCCTCGACTTGCTGGGCTCTGGCGATCCTTCCTCCTCAGCCTTCCGAGTAGCTGGAACTACAGGCGCGCGCTACCACGCCCAGCTGATTTTTTTTTTTATTATTTATTGTGGAGATGAGGTCTCGCCAAGTCGCCCAGGCGGGTCTCGAACTAGGCAATCCACTCACCTCAGCCTCCCAAAGGCACGGGATTATAGGCTGAGCCACCGAGCCCAGCTTACTCTCTATTTTAAATACTGGATAATCTTGTCTGGTATATTATATGCTTCCTTTTGTATTTATGGACTCGTCTTTAGTTAAGCTAACAATCTCTGTGAAATGGCAAAACTTCTATTTGAGACGTTCATAAATAGCTTTCTATGAAGCTATTTATTTTAAATTATGAAAATAGCTGGGTGCAGTGGCTCATGCCTGTAATCCCAGCAATTTGGGAGGCCATGGTGGAGGATTGCCTGAGCCCACAGGTTCGAGACCATCCTGGGCAATGTGGTGAAACCTCATCTTTACTATAAAAGCAAAAAATTAGCTGGGCGTGGTGGTGCACGCATGTAGTTCCAGCTACTTGGAAGGCTGAAGCAGAAGGATCACCTGAACCCAGCAGGTCAAGGCTGCGGTGGCTGTGAGCAAGCCAGTGCACTCCAACCTGGGTGACAGAGCGAGATTCTGACTCAAAAAAAAAAAGGTAGAAAGAAGGAAAATAGAATCTTTCTATACTGTCACATATTTGATGTGAACCAGTATCCTGCCTTTTATGTTGTTGCTTCTATTTTGAATGATTTCTGACAGAAAATTATTACTTATCAATATGGATTGATATATTAAATCCTAAACATGGTGATTAAAGCTGTTAGTGTCACTGATAATTTGTTCGGCAAAACTTCACTTATATGCAAATTGTTATATGCCATGATTTACATTTGTAGTTTGTGCAGCTGAGAATTTAAAAAGCATCAGTGGCATTTAGCTTCAGATGGCCAGAATAATGTAATAATGTGATGTTTATTCATATAGCAGTTATTAGTGTAATAGAGCCACATCACTGCATAGAAATTACAAGACCAAAATCCCCTAAAGAATTAAAATCTACTGATCTAATAATGAAGTAGAAGATGAGAAACAGTAAAGTGAAAATATTTTTCCTTACACTTTTTCTTGTGTCACATCTAATGATGTTTATTGAACCTCTGTGCCATGGCAGGCCCGCAGATAGACACTAGGCATGCTACAGAAAAGTGATGTTGTCCTTCCTTCAGGGAATTGGTTCATAGTCAAGACCACAAGATTGAAGTAGATACCCATGTAGAATATAATTATTTTATTTTTTTTTCTTTTTTTTTTTGAGTTGGAGTCTCAATGTGTCGCCCAGATTGGAGTACAGTGGTCGCTCCTGGCCACCGCAGCCTCGACCTGCTGGGCTCCGGTGATCCTTCCACCTCAGCCTTCTGTGTAGCCGGAATTACAGGCACGCGCTATCATGCCCGGCTGATTTTTTGATTTATTGTAGAGACGAGGTCTCGCTGCCCAGGCGGGTCTCGAACCTGCGGGCTCAGGCAATCCACTCACCTCAGCCTCCCAAGGTGCAGGATTACAGACTGAGCCACCGAGTCCGGCTGAATATAATTATTTGTGTCAGTGAATGAATAAGTATTATGGGAATATTGGGAAGGATTCATCATGCCAGTCAAATTGGGGGAGCTTGACAGAGTCACCTGGCTTTTTAGCTGGATCTAGTACAGGAAGAAAATAGCCATTGACAGAGTATAAACTGAGGTATAAAACTTACAGGCAGCATTCCTGGACACTTAGCTCAGTACTAGGATGTAACTGTGAGCAGGAGATTAGTGCAATATACTGGGGTGTGCAGGCTGACATTGTTGTGAGAGGAAAGTACTGTGTGAAAATGAGTTTAAGAGTAATAATGCTGTTAGATGGTTTTTTGTTACCTTCATGATCTAACAAAATTCTTACAGATTTGTAGCATGGTGCATAATGGTTTTACTCTAGCTTACTTGAATAGTAAACTGACTGAGACATTAAGTACTAGGGAAGTTGAAGCAACAGACTTCATAGTGGATTTCCAAGCATGACTCTGGAAGTCGCACTCAGAATGGACTAAGGATGCCGCCATTCTTGCTGGGATAAGAAACCTACCTGATGAGTTAGGAAGCCGCCACTTTACCTCTGGCTCCAGGGTGTATTGTCTCTCCTTTGATACCCCCCAGCAGGGTGCTTTTAGTACTAGATCTGTCTCTTTTGCCAGTTCCCTCATGGGACAACCTAAATTGTATCCAGAGTCTTAGCTGCAAGGGAGTCTGGGAAATAGAGATTTGAACTCTGCGGACTGCTGCATGGAGCGAGGTTGGAATGTTGATGTTATGTTTTGTCCACGTTAGAGTTCTTGTGTTTTGGAGACTGGAACTGGCCAACAGTGTCAAAACCATAAAGAAAACAGGATAGAAGGTCAGGGTATTAACTGCTCAAAGGGTTTTGTGTTTCTTGTGGTGGTGTTTTTAAGCTTGTTGTCCCTACCCCAGCCCCCCATACTTGTAAATGTAATGTAGAAACCAAGTGCACATAATTATATTTCCTCTAAATCTATCTGTAGTTCTCATACACATGACATGAACTTTTATGTATGCAACTAGAGCCCTCCTGGGCCCCCTGTCCTCTCATCCTTGAGCTTTACCGCTAATTACTTGCGCAGTGAGCAGCTGTTTCGTAACGGTCTGTGTTTAAAGTTGTGTTTCATCCTTCTGCCCAAAATGAGTGTTGTTACTTTCTACTTCCAATGCCTTAGTTTCCCCATGCGAGTACATTGTTGTGTGTTTGTACGTTTAAGCAGATTGTATAAAAGGTACATATGCAGATATAGGTTTTTCTATATTAAGTGCTTATTGATAGCTTTATTCCAGGTAAGTTAATTTATATTATTTAAATATGTAGATGGGCCTGGCGCAGTGGCTTAAGCCTATAATTTCAACACTTTGGGAGGCCGAGTTGAGAGGATTGCCTGAGACCAGGGTGTCAAGACCAGCCCGGACAACTTGGTGAGACCTCGTCTACAACAATTCAAAAAAATTAGCCAGGTGTGATAGCGCACATCTGTAGTTCTGGTTACTTGAAAGGCTGAGGCAGAAGGATTGCTGGAGCCCAGCAGGTCGAGGCTGGGATGGCTGTGAACATGCCATTGCTCTCCAGTCTGGGCGACGGAGTGAGACTCTGACTCAAAAAAAAAAAATAATAATAATGTATCAAAAAATATAGTGAAAATGTAAAATGTAAAATATAGTGTTACAGTTTTTAAAAAATCATTTGCAGTTCTTTGAGTTTTAATAAATGCATTGTTGTGACCATCACCACAGTCAAGACACAGTACGCGTCCCCATCCCCGTATCTCTGTTTAGAGTCAATCCCCACTCCTACCCTAACCCCCAGCAACCCCTGATTTATTCTTCATCCCTGTAGTCTTGCCTTTTCCTGAACACTGTTAAGAATCATTTAGTAGTACATAACTTTTACTTTTGGCTTCTTGGACTTAACACGTTTGGTGTTCATCAGTGTTGTTGCATGTATTAGCAGCTCATTTTCATCGCTTAGTAGTATGCCACTATGTGAATATGCCACAGTGTTTATTCATTGACCTGTTGAAGGACATTTGAGTTGTGTTTGATGATTATGGATAAAGTTGCTGGAAACATGCATCCTCTTTTTAGTGTGAGCATAAGTTTTCATTTCTCTTGGGAAACACTAGCAGTGGGATTGCTGAGTCTTATGATAACTCTATGTTTAACTTTATAAGAACTGCCCACATTGGTTCTGTAATATATCAGTGTTGCCACAATAAACTGTATTTTCCAGAATTTCCAGAGAGAGAGAGGGAGAGGGAGGGAGAGACTCCTCCCCACTGTATGTGCAGCTTCCCCTCCCGTCAGTTTGCTCTGTGCACTCCAAGCTCTGGCAACAGATGCAGGGACAGTCCTGTGGAGACTGTTTAATCTGCTTCTGTGAATGCAAATAGTTAAAATCCTTATAACAAATTCTTCATTAACAATAATATTTAGAAAAGGTAAGTAAGTAAATCTGTCTTAATGGTCCTTTTTCTCTGATTGAATCCTGATTGGTAAACTGTTTTCCAAAGTGGCTGTTTGATTTTGTATGCCATCCAACAAAATAGGACCATTTCAGTTGCTGCATAGCCTCACTAGCA